TCTCCCCACTCCCTTCTAACTTCTCTCTTCTCCCTTCTTCTTCCTTCTCCTCACTCCCTTCTGACTTCTCTCCTTTCCCTTCTCCCTTCTTCCTTCTCCCCACTCCCTTCTGACTTCTCTCCTCTCCCTTCTCCCTACTCCCCCCCCCCCAACACACCTCTTCTTACCTGCTATTTCACTAATCTATTTCCTTCCCCCCTCCCCCCCTCCGCTTCTCATCCGGCCCCCTTTGGACGTTTCTAGAAAGAGGACGTGGTAAGGGGAGATGAGGAGGGGGGGGGGAGAGGAGTGAGGGAGGTGGAGGATGGGGGTGGGGGGGGTTGTGGGGGAGATCTTAGGGCGGGTTATGATTTGTTGTTGTCTTTTAAGATAAGTTTGTTTGTTTATTTGTAAGTTTGTGTGCGTGTATGTGTGCGTGCGTGCGTGTGTTGTGTACGTATGTGCGTCCATGCGTGCGAGTGCGTGTTCATGTGCGTGTTCGTGTCCGTGCATCCGTTCAATTAATAATTCAACCTGCTAAAGTTAGGGAGAAGTAAGAACTTGAACTTAGAGGGAAGTACATAGTAGTATTGAAGTACTTCTATAATCTACGTTTTCGACGAATTAAACGCTGACAAGTTTTATATGTTATTTCAAGGTAGGCCTACGTACATACATACATACATAATTTCCATTATTTATTTGCGTTTTAGTTATTTAATTCACAAAGGGTATATATTGAAACAAATTATCTATGGTATGGGTGAGAGAGGGGGAGTTAGAGGAAGAGGTAGAGGAAGAAAGAGTGAAAGGGTAAGGAGGATGAGGAAGAAGAGGAGGAGGAGGAGGAGGAGTAGGAGGAGGAGGAGGAGAAGGAGAGGGTGATTGGAAAAGAAAGAGGAGGAAAAGAGAAAGAGGAGGAAAAGAGAAAGAGGAGGAAAAGAGAAAGAGGAGAAAAGAAAAGAAAAGAGAGAGCGAGAGAGAGAGAGAGAGAGAGAGAGAGAGAGAGAGAGAGAGAGAGAGAGAGAGAGAGAGAGAGAGAGAGAGAGAGAGAGAGAGAGAGAGAGGGGAAAAGAACATCCACACGCACCTATACATAGAGAACTGGACTCACATTAAAGCTATAATACACTTACATAAGACAACATTTCGTATATCCCTCTCTATATATCTGTTTTAATGATATCCCTACGCCCTATCTTACATAAATGCAAACGTCCATGCGTGTGCGTATATATAACATACAAAACGCACACATACACGCTTAAATTGTAATGATAAGCTCGGCCCTTAAAATGACGTTCATCCCGGTGTAAATTAAATCAGGATGGAATGGATATTAAAAGATACAAATTTATGACGGTTGGACGGACGCTGGGGGGTGCTGTGATCACGCCGTGGGAAATGGGTGCCAAGTCTCCTGTTCCGAGCGCATTTTGATTTTCTTTTTTCTTTTTTTCTTTTTTTCTTTTTTTTAAGGGAGGCGGGGTAGATTGTTTTAGATTTGTTTAGGTTCGTTTTCATTTATTGATTTGTTTTTTATATGTCTTTGTCTTTGTTGTATTTTATTTTATTTTTGGTACATTTCCTTCGTTTTCTATTTTCTTTTTTTTATGTTCATTTTTTGTTTGTATTCTTTTTGTTCATTTTTATTTGTATGCTTTTTTTTCATTTTCTGTTTATATTCAGTTTTATTTGTTTTCTTTTTGTTCACGTATTTGCTTTATTTTATTTATTTTATTTGTTCTATTTCATTTCTTTGATATATTCTTGTTTATGTTACTTAAGTATGATACAAATTGGCATTCGCTACCTACCTACCCCTCCCCCCCACCTTACCTACCCCTCCCCTACCTCCCCTTTACCCCCAAACCCCCTCCCTCATCTCCCCCCCCCTCCCCCTCCCCCCCTACACCCCTTCCTAATTTCCTGTCGTCTGAACATTAACGATACCACATATCACCGTCTCTCCTTTGTGTGAAGAATGATCGTTCTCCGTCGCTTGAATTAGAACAACCAATCATAGGCGAGGAGGGTCGATTGGCTCCTCCCCCCCACCCCCACCCCCCCAATCTTCTCTGGATTTGCCTCACATATACGTACACATACACGTACACATATACATACACATACATATACACGTACAGATATACATATACATATACATACACATACACGTACACATACATATACACATACACATACACATACACATACACATACACATACACATACATATACACGTACACGTACACATACACATACATATACGCACATGCACACACGTCCATGCCGGGTGTGCATGTAAACTGATTTTTTTTTTGTTATCATTATTCTTAAGTTTTTTTTTCTCTCTTAATTCTCTTTCCGGGCTCATTAATTTTCTTTTCACATATCCTCCTTCTTCTATTTGTTTTCTTCTTCTTCTCCTTTTCCTCCCTCTTCCATTCTACCTTCCCTCCTCTTCCTCCTCCTCCTCTTCCTCCTTCTTCCCCTCCCTTCCCCTCCCTCTCCCTCTCCCCCTTCCTTCTCCTGCTCCTCCTCCTCCCTCCTCCTTTTCCTCTTCCTCCTCCTCCTCCTCCTCGTTCTCCTCCTCCTCCTCCTCCTCCTCCTCCTACTCCTCTCCCCCGTTTCCTCCCCCTCCTCTTCCTCCTCCGCCTCCTCCTTTTCCTCCTCTTCCTCTTGCTCCTCCTCCTACTCTACCTCCATCTCCTCCCTTTTCCCTCCCTCCTT